TGGAGGGGCGGGCTGGAGGGCTGTGCTGAGGCTGCCGCCTGCCCTCCCCGCAGGTCTTTGACCTGCCGCCCCCGGGCGTCCGCAAGTGCATCCTCTCCACCAACATTGCCGAGACCTCGGTCACCATCGACGGCGTGCGCTTCGTCCTGGACTCCGGTGAGACGTTCCCCGGGGGCGGAGGGCTCGGGGGGGGCCGGTGCCGCAGGACTGAGCTCAGCCTGTGCGTGCCCTGATGTCTGTCGCCCCCTAATCCTCCTCCGCCCCTGTGGCCCCCAGGGAAGGTGAAGGAGATGAGCTCGGACCCCCAGGCCAAGCTGCAGCGGCTGCAGGAGTTCTGGATCAGCCGGGCCAGCGCAGAGCAGCGCAAGGGGCGCGCGGGCCGGACAGGGCCCGGCGTGTGCTACCGGCTCTACGCCGAGTCCGACTACGACGCCTTTGCCCCATACCCCGTGCCCGAGATCCAGCGCGTGGCACTCGATGCCCTGGTGCTCCAGGTAGGGCACATGGGGGTGTTTCCCCCGCAATCACCCCCAGGCGGGAGGGAACCCCCGGGACTCATGCTGGGGTCTCCGGTGTGGCTGAGCCGGCCCCAGCCGTCCCAGGATGCCCACCCAGAGCTGCTTCTGCCCCCGTCCAGATGAAGAGCATGTGTCTGGGCGACCCCCGGAGCTTCCCCTTCCTGGAGCCACCGCCACCGTCCAGCCTGGAGACAGCCATGCGCTACCTGCGGGAGCAGGGGGCCCTCGATGACGCCGAGGACCTGACACCCATCGGGAGCTTGCTGGCCCAGCTGCCCGTGGACGTGGTGGTCGGTGAGATGCTGGGAGAGCGCAGCGGCCTTGGGGCTGGCTCCAGGGGGTGGGGAAAGGGTTAGGTAGCCTGGGACTGGAGCTGCCCCCTGCCCCGCTTTGATGCCTTTCTGCCCCGCAGGGAAGATGCTGGTCCTTGGGGTGCTGTTCGGCCTGGCCGAGCCGGTGCTCACGGCCGCAGCGCTGCTGAGCGTGCAGTCCCCGTTCCTGCGCCCCGCGCACGCCAACCCTGACTGTGCTACAGCTCGCCGGCCCCTCGAGAGCCCCCACGGCGACCCCCTCACGCTGCTCAACACCTTCAACCAGTGGGTGCAGGTGGGGCCAGTTGCCAGCTCCAGGAGGCCGGGGGGTGGGGACATGCCTGGGGCAGTTACCCCTTGGGGCTCGGCGCTGGGGGAGGCATCGCAGAGAGGTTTTGCACCCCTGGGGGCTTCTGCCCCATCGAGTGGGATGGGCCAGGGAGGTCTGTGTCGCCCGTGGGGTGGGAAGTGCAGGGTGGAGGGCTTCTGGGGGGACCAGGACCCCCCGTCCCCTTCCCCCAGCGCTGAGGCCACGCTGTTCCCGGTGGCAGGTGAAGTCGGAGCGGAGCAGCAACTCGCGGAAGTGGTGCCGGCGCCGGGGCCTGGAGGAGCATCGGCTCTACGAGGCGGCCAACCTGCGGCGGCAGTTCCAGGTGGGTGCGGACGGGGCCAGGCTCGGTCCGGGGGCTGTCAGGAGAGGGGAGCCAGGCTTCAGCACCCCCTGGCCCTGTCTCGCCCCCAGGACCTGCTCCGGGACCACGGGCTGGTGAAGGTGGCATCCGCCCGGGCCAGCGACAGCTACACGCGGCAGAGCCGGCACCGGGAGCGCCGGGAGCTGCACCGGCTGGGGGGGCGACACGAGCAGACGGAGGGCCGGCGGCGCAAGGCGCTCAAGCTGCAGGACGGGGAGGCTGCGTCCTCCAGCGAGGATGAGGGCGCGGGCGCCCCCGGGGATGGAGACGGGGCACGCAGCGTCGACATCCAGGTGTGTGGGTGGACAGGATGGGGGGGGTCTGGATGCCCGGCCGCTCTCCCGTTTCTGAGGGGCGGTGGGGTCCAGCAGGTGATAGCCGGGATGTTGTCAGGATGCCTGGGGTCCGGGCAGTGGGGTCCAGCGAGCTCCAGCTG